GTCTAATAATAGGCTCCCTTCTACTTTCTTGTCATGTTTTTTAGATTTCATGTGTCAGGAAGAACAAGCAGTATTTGTCTTTCTGAATCTGGCTTTGGTCAATATCATGGTCTCTAGATCCATCCACTTTCTTACGAATGACAGAATTTCATTCTTGTTGATGAATAATACTCCTGTGTGTGTATAATTTGTCCATTTATCTGTTGATGGACCTTTAGACTGGTTTCATAAGAGTGACTGTCGTGAATTGTGCCGCAATAAACATGGATATGGAGCTATCCCAAAGTATGCTGACTTTAACTGCTCTGGGTTTATACCAAGGAGTGGTCTAGCTGGATCACATGGTATTTCTATCTGTAGTTTTTTAGGACTCTCCGTACTGATTTCCATAGTGGCTGTACTACTTTGCATTCCCATCAGCATTATAGGCGGGTTCCTTTTCCCCACAGCCTCAACCAGCCTTTATGCTTTTTTGGTATTCTAGATAGCCATTCTGACTGGGGTGAGATGGAATCTCATTAGAGTTTTGATTTGCATTCCCTTACTTCTTTTATTTTTATGACTGAATAAAATTCCATGCTTGAATATACCACACTTTTGATTATTCATCTAAGGATGGACAGTTGGTTTGTTTCTGCTGCTTGGCTGTTATGAATAATGCTTCTACAGACATTCATATGCAGGTTTCTGTGTGGACATTTATTTTCATTTTCATTGTCTTACATTTCTACCTAGGAGTGGAATTGGTAGGTCATATGGTAATTCTCTTTTAAGTTTTCGGAGAATTGTCAAGCTATTTACCATAGTGGCTGGACCATTTATATCACTGCCAGCAGGGTTTCTGTTTTTCCATATCCTTGCCATCACCACACTTACTAGGTTTTCATTTTATAATTTTTTGAAGTTATTGCCATCATACTGGAGGTGAAATGATACGCTATAGTTTTGATTTGCATTTCCTTAACAGCTAATGATATTGAATGCTTTTTAATGTGCTTATTGGTCACACACATAATTTCCTTGGAGAAATATCTATCCAATCTTTTTTCATTTTTAACTGGGTTGTCCAAGTTAATGAGTTTTAAGAATTCTTTATGTATTTCCAGATATATGACTTGCAAATGCTTTCATTTTTATGAACTCTTTTCAGTTAGTTGATATATTTTGAAGCAAATAATTTTTTAAAATTTAATTTTATTTTTTGGTACCAGGGATTGAACTTGGGTCTTTGCACTTGTGAGGCAAGCAGCAGAACCACTGAGCTAAATCCCTGGCCCATAATTTTTTTATTTTGATGGAGTCTAATTTATGGTGTTTTTTTTTTTTCTCTCATTGCTTTTGTTGTCATATCTGGGAATCTTTGCCAAACTCAAGATTATAAAAGTTTACCCCTGTATCTCTAGTTTTAGCTTTTACATTAAGATTTGTGATCCATTTTGAGTTAAATTTTTGTATATGGTATGGGTAGGAGGTCCAGTTTCATTCTTTTGCATGTGGATATCCAGTAATGGCAGCACCATTTGTTGAATACACTGTTCTTTCTCTCATTGAATGGACTTGGCACCCTTGTTGAAGATCAGTTGACCTTAGATACAAATTTAGTCATACTTATAGATGTACAGGTAAAGCTAAATATAGAATTACCATATGGCCCAGCATTCTTCTGAAAGAAACCAGACAAAAAATTTACAAAAAAAGATTGTATAGATTTTTTAAGTGAAATGTCTAGAATAGGTAAATCTATAGAAACAGAAAGCTGATTGGTTCTTGTCAGGGTCTGGAGGGAAAAGAAATTGCTAATATTAAATCCATACAGGTTTTCTTTTTTGAGTCAAGAAAATGTTTTGGGACTAGATAAACTTAGTGGTTATACACAGTATTGTGACTATTTTAAATGGCATTGACTTGTTACTCTTTCTTCTCTAAGGACACTAATACCATCATGAAAAGTTTACTCTCCTAATTCTCCTCAAAGGCTGCAACCCTAATATCACACTGGAGGTTAGGGCTTGAAGATGAGTTTTTTGTGGGGGCAAACATTTGGTACATAACACTTAGCAGGGTCTTCCTGCAGTCTTCCCACAGCTTCTTGATGCAGTTTTGTCTTTTGTCAAATTTATCAGAGTATGAAGCTGTGGTCCTGGGAATTCCTTTACTTTCTTCATGTTGAATCTGTTTTCTGGATCTTTTATTTTCTTTTGTAGTTAACATTATCATTTGGTTGACATTCTCCAGTAGCTGCATGACAAAGGATATATTGTGGTCAATTTCTATGTGTCTCTGAAGTTATTTTTATTCTACTTTTTTAAATTGGGGATTGAACACAGGGTCTTTGCACTGAGCTATATCTCCAGCCACCCTCCCCCCTTTTATGAGACAGGGTCTCATTATGTAGTTCAGACTGCCCTGGAACTCACTATGTAGCCCAAGCTGGTCTCGAACTCACAGCAATCCTCCTGCCTCAGCCTCCCTAGTGCTGGGATTACAGGCATGCTCCACCACACCTGGCTCTCCAGCCCTTTTTATTTTATGAGACAGGGTCTTGCTGAGTTGTGCAAATTGGGCTCAAAGTTGCCATCCTCCTGCCTCAGTCTCCGAGAGTGCTAGGATTACAGGTTTGCATGACCTGGCTCAGCATCTACTAACTCTCTTGATTATATGGCTCAATAGAGATTTTTCTTTCCCTCAGAATTTTGAAGCCATAAGCACAAGGATCGAGTTCATTCCCCAGTACCAAAAAAAAAAAAAAAAATTTTTTTTTGAAGCCATTGCTCTGTCTTTAAGATTACAATTGAGAATTTGATCCTGTCCTCCTTTTTATCTATGCTTGCTCTTTTTGAAATCTTTTGGAATCAGAATCCTCCCTCATTTTAGTGTGCCAGGTGTGATGGTGTGTGTGTGTGTGTGTGTATGTGCATGTGAATGTGTGTGTACATGTGTGTGTATGATTTTCCTAGGTACTTGCTGGGCCCTAGAAATGTAATGTTACTTCTTTGATAGTTCTCTCAGTTTTTTTCCCTCACTTTCTGATGAAAAGTTTAGATCTGATTTAATTGACATTTTCTCCTATTACATATCTCTTTGTATAACTTTGTTGGCTTTCTGGGAGATTGACTCGCCTTGGCTTTCTATTGGATTTTGATCCTGTGACTCAGAATTTTAATTTTCAAGAGCTTACACTTGTTTTCAGATTGTTTTTCTTCTGTCTCTGCCTCCTTCCCCTTCCTCACTCTACCCTAGTATTTTCTGTTACTACTTCTCCACTTTCCCCCTTTCCTCCTCTTCATCTCCTTTTTCTGTCCTTCTTGCGCTTCTCCTCTTCCCCTCTTTCCTTCCATACTCTGTTATTATGTTCTTGACACATATCTTCCTTTACCTCTGCTTTTTAAAATATTTTCCTGGTACTGGGGATTGAACTCAGGTCCTTGAGCTTGCGAGGCAGTCACCAGAACCACTGAGCTAAATCCCCAGCCCATCTTCCTTTACCTCTAAGGACATGGATTTTGAAATTTTTAATTTGTTCTTCATTTACGTCTCTCCTTCTCCCTCCCTCTTTTTTTTTTTTTTTTTTTTTTGTACCAGGGATTGAACTCGGCTCCTTGCGCTTGCGAGGCAGGCCACCGAACCGCTTCCCTCATTTTTAAAATCATTTTTCTGCTTTGATTTTGGTCCCTTGAGATGTTCATTCTTCCTTATGGCCCAGCATCTGTTAAAGCTGACTGGAAGCTGTGTCGTGGACTGATAGGCTTCACCATACAACAATGAGTCCGTTTATTTAACTGACACACAGGTGTCAGTGTTTGTAAGTTTTTGGATGTGCTGTTCTTTTAGACTCCAAAGATCTTCAGTATCTTCCTTGTAAATCAAAGTTACTCCTTAATCTATTCTTAATAAGTTAAGAATCTTTAACAACACATTTTCTTGTAGAGGTGTGTAGCTCAGTTTATTCATAAAACAAAAGAATTGGACTTAATTTTATCTATAACCAATCTGTGGCCTTGCTACAACCCTTATTTAAAATAAGTGTTTAATAATTTCAACATATGTATATAATAAATTAACACCCATAGTTTTTCTACAAAGAACCTGCATGTGGCACAGAAACAAAGGAGTAGGGTGAGCTACTAATGTATTAGATGCATATTGTACCTTCTAGGAGATAAAAGCTATATATAAATTGTTATAAGAAAATTGTGAGAGCCAGGCATACCTGGATCTGAACTGAAGCACTACCATACACCAAGTTTTGTGACCCTGAGTAAGAAAAAACTTCTCTGAGCCTCAGTTTTCCCATTAATTCTTCTATGTGCCAGACTTTGAACTGATATTGGAATAAGAGTAGCAGATCCCTTTTTCCATGGATCTCATGTTTTTATTTCATTAGCTACAATTTTATTTTCATGCTTACATTTTTGACATTCCAGCATTTCTTGGTCGAAATAATGCTAGCACATCTTTTTTATATCTATATTATACACATTTGGGGGGGGTACTGGGGATCGAACTCAGGACCTTGGGCTGCGAGGCAGGCGGTGGAAACACTGAGCTAAGTCCCCGGCCCTATGTTATATACTTTCAGTGGTCATTTTAAAATAATTTATATATTTACACTATATTTAATTTCTTGAATTTAAACTTGAAGTGGTTAAAGGTTAAATGAACTATACTAGATTGGAAATTAACTAAATAGTATCTGTCAGAATTTGAGGCCCGTGCTTGTTTTATTGTACTGTAACTACTTTATGAGTAAATATTGCATCTTCAGCTTTTTGCCATAATCTTTTGCTAATTATTGTTTATATGATACTTTTTGTGTTAGAGGATATTGTTAACATCTAAGTCTAGGAATTGGAATTCCCTCAATACTGATATAAAATGCTTTAACAGGAATTTCTATTCTGAGCTAACTCAAGGTGCTTCTTTTTACAGTGCAGTTCTTAAAGTAGTACATCCTTTAGGGCACTAATAGTTGCATCTCTGTTCTCATTTTTTTGTTTTAGGGAAACTAAAACCAACAATGGCATTCATGTCAGGAAAATTGAAGATTAAAGGAAACATGGCCCTAGCAATCAAATTGGAGAAGTTAATGAATCAGATGCATTCCAGACTGTGAAGGAAAAGAAACAAAAATGTGGACTGCTGTGCTAAAAAAGTAAAAAAGCTCAACAGTTAAAATGTAACATTTGTTGTCTTCCCTATTGTATTATAGGATATGCATGTTTATTCTAAAAAAATAGATTTTCTGTATCTGTAAGACTTGAAGTTGTAATTAAAATAGCTAGCCAAACAGCTTCATTAAGTGGAATTTTAAGTCATTTTGTTTCTATAGTTTGAGAGTTTTGCCCTCTGGGCCTTCTGTCTCATCTTCTTTCAGGAAAATTATGCCTTATATACAACCAGGCAGGGTCAAGCAGTGAAATTAGCTCTTTATGAAACTGCTTCTCTATAAAATAAGGGCACTTTGTTTACATTCTTTTAGTTTGGATTGTATACTAATGAAAATTGTAATGATAATTTGGACTATTTTTTACAAATACTTTAAAGAAAATATGTGCATAATACAGAAATCATCTAATAAAACTGCTTAATATATACTATGTGTCAAACAGTTTTTCATTTTTTTAGCCAGTTTTCCAGGTAGGATAATCTATAGGAAATAGGAAAATATTAAATGTACTTCAAATAATTGCAGTAGGCATCCTATTTACAAGTATATTAAAAAATGCTATGTCTTGCTATTGATTTGCCTATTCTGGACATTTCATATAAATGGAATCATATATAATCTTTTGTGCTTGTCTTTCACTTAATGTTTTCAAGGTTCATCCATGTTGTGCCTTGTGTCAGTGTTATTAATTTATTATAGTTGCTGCCCCGACATCCATTTTTAGGCCTGACGTGTTATGTGAAGCCCGTGGTGGTACTCTAGTTCAAACTTCCCCTCCTTATGCGGTTGTTTGCAAAAATATAGCCCACTTGTTCTCCCAGTGACCTAAAATCCAACACATCCCACAGCTGCTTATAAAACTTGATGGTCAACACCAATGTGAATCCTGTAAATAAGTTCATCCCCTTTACAAATACTGTCTTTAAATTAGCCAAGCCAGAACTCCGAGAAATCGAAGAGAAAATACCCGTGGAACTTAATGAGTGCATAATCCCACAAATTTCCTTTTTCTACCCCTTTCTTATCTTCCCCTCCACTCCCACTGATTGATCTCCCTGCTGCCTCCTGATTTCCTGTCAGCATCTCTGCATCTTCCTGGGAAGAAATAAGAATCTTGTGTTTTATGTGTTTTGGTTTCACCTCATTATGTCTCAGCTAATGGACACGCTCAAACTTTTCTCCTCTTTGGGACTCTCCTAGAAAGTAGTTTTTTAGAAAGAGGCCTCAGGACCAACTTAGAAACTATGGGTCTGGATGTGACTCAGTGGTAGAGCACTTGCTTAACATTCTCAAGGCCCTGGGTTCAACCACTCCCACCAAAACAAAAAGCAAAAACCACCATTACTGTCTGGCATGGTGACACATACGTTATCCCCAGGTGCTCAAGGCAGCTGAGGCAGGAGAATCATGAACCCAAGAGTTCAAGGCCAGCATAGGAACACAGTGAGATCCTATCTCTTTAAAAGGGGGCAGGGGACTCATAACAATAAAAATCACAAACACCGTTACTCGTTTTCATTGTCAACTAATATTCCATCACTTGGATATATCACATTTTATTTATCCATTCATAAGTTGGTAGACCTTTTGGGGTCTTTCCACTTTTTGGCTATTATGAATCATGCTCTTGTGAACATTAATGTATACTTTTGTCTTAATGTGTTCATTTCTCTTGGCTGTAGATATGGGAATACATTGGCTAGGTCATATGGTAATTTTGTATAACCTTTTGAGGAACTGCTAGTCTATTTTCCAAAGTGCTCATATCATATTATACACTAGCAATGAATGTGGGTTCTGATTCTCATCTTCACTAATACTTTCACTGTCTTTTTTTATTATAAATAGTAGGTGTGCAGTGGTTCTTACTATGGTTCTGATCTGAATTTCAATGATGGTCACTTCGATTCTTTTGAAGATCACAATTTTCTAGTAATATTCTCCATTCTGTTACTCATATTCTTGAACATACTAATAACTAAAGGTTGTATCTACTAACTATGGTATCTACATCATGTGTGCATTTTGTTTGTTTTGAGACAGGGTCTCACTATGTAGTTGAGACTGACCTGGAACTATGTATCCCAGGCTGGTCTCGAACTCACAGCGATCCTCCTGCCTCAGCCTCCCGAGTGCTGGGATTACAAGCCTGTGCCACCACACCCAGCAATGCGTGCATTTTTTATTGTTCTCTTCCTCTTGGCCTTTGTTGTTATGTTTTTGTTTAGTTATGTTTATGTCATGTTCAGTTTTGGCCTTTGTTCAGTTCACTTGTTTTTTGCATATTTGATAATTGTGGAAGGAATGCCAGATGTCAGGTATGAAAAATTATGAAGACTTTTCTACCACAGATTTTTTTCCAACAAGCATATAAATATTGGTATGCCACCTGCAACCAGGGGTGTAGGTAATTCAGGTCTGTATTTTAAGTATTAATAGGACTGTTTGTGGTTTGCTTTTACTCCCATGATGTAGTTCTTTAAGGGCCTCAGCTGAAACTGAGGGCCCTTCTTTCCTATTTTTTTCCAGCACCATGTAACAGCTGAAGATTTCTGCTCAGAGGTTTTTTTTTTTTTTCTGTTAGCAATTGCTTCCTGCTGTTTCTTGGCTTCTTGCCCCTTACTTTATAGGTAGGAATCTGCAAGTGCTTTGAGTGGGAGATAGCATAAAGAGTGATAGGTTGTTTTTACTGATTGCTTTTTCTGTGATCTTGGCCTGTCAAGTCCTAAGGGCCCTAATTAACCAGACCTCTAAATGTGTCTCCACCCCAGTGATACTATCCCAAGCTTTGGATGCTTTTCTCTCTTTGGCTTCTGTACTCCAGAAGTCAACAATGCCCCTAGAAGGAAAAGTAGCAGAAAGTTGAAGACTTGCTTCAGTGCTTTTCCCTTCCTCCTGGGTGATTGGACTCTTAAGTCTTGGCTGATTAAGTTTCTCTCCAATAGTTAGAAACGGCTTTTATAGTTCTCAGTGGAAGAGTTAATTTGTACAAGGTACCTACCTCCATGATAGCTGGAGACATGCATCATTTAAAAAATTCATCATAGCCGGGCATGGTGGCACACGCCTGTAATCCCAGCACTCGGGAAGCTGAGGCAGGACGATCCTCTGAGTTCAAGCTCAGCCTGGGCTACATAGTGAGTTCCAGGTCAGTCTCAACTACATAGTAATACCCTGTCTCAAAACAAAACAAAACAAAACAAAAACAACCAAAAACAAAACACCAAACAAAACAAAAAAATTCATCATAGCCTGGCATGGTGGCAGATGCCTATAATCTCAGCACTTGGGAAGCTGTGGTAGGAGGGTTTGTTTTAGGCCAGCCTAGGATACATAATGAGTTCAAGGCCAGCCTAAACTACACAGCAAGCCCGTTGCAAAAGAAAAAAAAAAAAAAAGGGACTGGGAATGTAGTGGTAGAGTGCTTATCTAGTATGCATGAGGCCTTGTGTTCAATCCACAGTACCAACCCCTCAAATGGAAGTAAGTGGAATTGCATGATTTTTCATAAAAGTTGATTATATTTAAAACCCCCAAATAATACACAATTTACCTTTTTTAATCCCTTTAAGCTTACAGTTCAGTAGTGTTAACTATATTACATAACATCTCTAAAAGAGAGTGCTTATCTAGTATGCATGAGGCCTTGTGTTCAATCCATAGTACCAACCCCTCAAATGGAAGTAAGTGGAATTGCATGATTTTTCATAAAAGTTGATTATGGTTAAAACCCCCAAATAATACACAATTTACCTTTTTTAATCCCTTTAAGCTTACAGTTCAGTAGTGTTAACTATATTACATAACATCTCTAAAAGTTCTTCCTGTTATCAAACTAAGCTCTATATGCATTGAATACCAACTCCCTCTTCCTCCAGCTCCCTAGCAACCACTACTGTTTCCATGATTTTGACTGTGTTGCATCTTTCATATAAGTACAATCATTTAGTATTTGTTCTTTTGTACATAACTGGATTATTTCACCCAGAGTAATATCAAGTTTCACCCACATTGTAGCATATGACAGTTTCCTTCTTTTAAAAAGTTTATGTCCCATTTGAAGTACATATCACATTTTCTTTATCCATTCATCTGTCTGTGACATATAGGCTGCTTTCATCTCTTGGATATTGTGGATAGTGGGGCACTGTATCTTGGGGTGACTTTAACGTGTCTTTAACACCCTGCATTCAATTTTGGGGGATATATATATATATACCCAAAAGTGAGACTGATGGATTCTATGTTATTTCTATCTTTGGGATCCCTTTGTATTGTTGTGTATAGTGGTCACACTTTACAGTTCCATCAGCACTGCACTAGAGTTCCAGTTTCTTCACAAGAGCACATCTTCAGACTATGTAGCAATTAGCTGTGTTTTTAGAAAGTACTGTGTAAGACCTAAAGTCTCACTTCCACTCCATGGAGCGTGAACAGCCAAAAAGGCCTCCACGATGCTGGGCCCTAACACCCAGCGAGGCTCCGGGAGCTCGATGGAGAAACGAGAAACCCAGGAAGGAACACACCAGGCTAGATGGTAAAGAGACCTTTATTAGTCTGGCCAGATGGCACTCCCGGAGCCAGGTGGCTCAGAGAGGCAACTGCTCAGGGGCTGAGGTACTTTATTTTATAAAGTTTTTCTAAACAAAGAGTCAGGGAATTCACAGAACAAGACTGCAAACACATTACTTATCTTATGCAGGAAATGTTCTAGGGTCACCTTTTGTCAAACCATTTGTCCCTGGGCGGGCTGTTAACCAAGGTAGCAATTAGCATATGAAGAAGCACAGTCTGGCCTATTAGCATGGAGTCCCTTTGTGAAGACTAGTGGAGAAGATTGTAAGCACAGTAAGTGGGGCAAGGGGGTCAGTTTCCTGCTATCCCTTAGGGGGTCTGGTTTATGACATGTCTGGCATCCTGCGTTGGTCACCCCAGACTCAAGATGCCCTGTCTTGATCAAAGTCCTAAGACATTACCTTTGTTTACTCATACCAAGTTTACACACACTTCCTTCTAATCTTATCTGTAGATAGGAGGGAGCAGAGTAGAATGGAATGTACTTTGTTATATGCAGACTATCTAGGGCCTACACAGCGGTTGGGGTCCTA